AATATTCTTATATACATATATATATAAATATATATTAATTATTATTATTATTTTTTTTTATTATTATAATCTAAACATTCCCAATCTCTCCCTCCCAATTTTTTACCATGTTCGACTTTTTCTCTCTCACTTTTTTTCTTTATTTATATATATATATATCTATCTCTATATCTCTCTCTATCTATATCTCTTTTTCTATATATACGGATGAGAAAGTTATGCTCGACTTCGTGGTCTCTACAGACGTTGTTGCGGGATCCTCTCTTCTAATTTGATTTTATTTTCCTAATTGCATATATATATATATATATATATATATATATATATATATAATATAACTATAGTTTGAGTTTCGTCATTACAAATGGTAATGTTGTTCGTACCTGTTACTGCGACATCCTTCACAACTCTTCCATTGTTTCTTTCAGTTCTACTTACTGAAACACATCATAGTAATAATTTAAATTCATTTAATACTGATATATTCATATTCAAAAATGTAAGGGGATTAAGTAACATGAAATGTATGTAAACTACGAATATAATAATTAATCATTACCATTTGTAATATCAGATAGAATTAAATTTGTGGGTGTAGTTGGTGATGTCGGGTTATTTGGTGTATATAATTCAAGATCTCTTAATCGAATTCCAGCTCTCTGCCTGGATCGAAACTCCTCTGTGTTGTAAAAGTTTGATTTATCGATTGAAATTCCGCAAGAACCTGCATTTTTTTTCGAAAATTCTTATGTATATTATCGGAATATATATAATAAGGATGCCCAATACTAACTTTTATTAATTGGACATTGTTAAATGATATTTGAAGCAGACATTTGTATTAACCGAACATATAAATGCATAATTTAATTGACCTGAGGGGTCCATTGGCCTTTTTCCCTTGTCATTTCTATTTGTTTGCATATTATGGGTGTATCCATCATCTGTATGAATAAATTAAAAGTATTATTACATCTAATGGTAAATATATTAATGTATAACAAACGTAAGTAAACACATCGTGACAATATATAAATACAAATTAACAAAAATAGAAAATACAGAAATAAAAAAAATGATACTAACCATTTGTCATAGCAGATAGAATTAAACTGTTTGTTGTGGTTGGTGTTTTCATAATATTAGATGAGCACAATCCCACAGTTTTAGTTCCATTTACGCAGCCATGGTTCGATTGAAACTCCTTCATGGTCTCATTATTTGATTTATCTATCAAGTAAGACCCATATTAGAGGGGAATATTAATAACATGATTAGTAAAATGAAAACTTGTGAATATACACCATAAAGAAACAATTTTCACGTATTTATTTGCAAACAACAAAGTATTTGTTACCTTTCGCCGGTGTTAATGTTCTCCTGTTTCGAATATAATTTATGCGATTTGTCCTTGCAGCTTTTGTATCATGAATGTTGTTCTGGTTAAAAACATTCTTAGGGGGGGGGGGTTCTTTTATATTTGATTGTATATTCGTAAAAAATAAGATTACAATGTGAAACAACAAAATGAAGTAGCGTATTTATATAATTGCAATATTGTTATTAAATCTATTTAAGACCATAAAATCTTCAAATATTACGACTAATATAGAATGATTTATTAAGATCTAATTAATTGGCAAGTTCCCGTATTTAGTGGATTGTAATAACAACTAAATATATAATTTGCAAGATATGTAAGGCATGAAATCAATTAGTTAATAATATATCTTATTTATATAAGAATATATTAGGAGTAAATATATTCATAAATTAGATTTTTAGTGGGACCCATTTTTAAAAGATTGAATACTCCTAAATTAGGAGTATTCATCGTAAATTTTAAATTAGATTTCACATTGTTACTACATCCACAATTTACGTTTGTTCCATTAATACTAAACCATGATTAATTTACTATTCTTAATGTAGACAGTAGTCAGATCACATTAGAATTCCTACTCGTACTTTATGATATGTTAACTATTTTTTATTGCTGATTTTTATTTAGGGTAATAAATTTAGGATTTAAGTATTAAGATATAATTAATTTATTTTTGTTATTAAATTTCAATTCGGACTTATTTTCCGGTTTAATTTTGCTATTATCTTTTTTTCTTATTTTTGTTTTAATTTATTTTTATTATCTTTGCTTTAATTTTATTTTGTTATTAAATTAATGGTAATACATATATTTGCCATTAAATTTTTAGTAGCGTAAATAAAACTGAATTGGGTTAAATAATTAAAAAAAATATATTGTTTTAGTTTTTTTAGTAAATTTATTTAACTAAATGTATGCTATTTTGTTTGGTTGTTTTCTCTTAAATTATTGGTTTCGAGCACTTCTTTTGATTAATTGTTTAACATAATTATCCAATTAAAAAAAATATTATTTTATACTATTTAGAATATAATAGTATTTATTATTTTAATAGAACTTTTTATATAAACAACATATAACAGTAGGTAAAAAACCAATTTTTTTACGAAAAAAAAGGGGAAAAAATTAGAGAGGAGAGATAGCACTTGTATTTTAACGGATTAAATGGAGTAAAAGACACATTAGTGATTTGAGATAAAAACATTCTACGAATTATATAAAAGAAATCTAACAAATAGAATTATTGATTATAATATTAAATGTTAATTCAAATAAATAAATAGTGCAAAATACCCAAAAGAACAAAAAGTAAAAGGTCTTAGTGAATAAAACCACGAACTAAGTTCCACAGAAAAAAAAGTATGTCAAAGGAAACAATAAGTAATGCTTAAAACCAAGGTTGTTATTCCATTTTTTCCTGTTTGATCTTCTTCAAGAGAACAGTGGTCGAATGCATTGGGGTATTCTCATCCTCTTGCGAATCAAGACTGAAATCCAAACTTCTCTTTATTGGAGTGATTTCAACTGCCGATGAATCGAAAATTGAATCCTTCGAAACAGTTAAGGACTCGTTTTCCTAAATTGAAATGTTACATAATCCATTAATAAAATACAATTGAATGAACTGTAATTAATTAATACTAATGTTTTAGTAAATTGGAATACTACCAACCTTTGATGACAACATACAGACCGAAGAACTATCATCGACACTTGCATGGGGTGAAGTAGTATTAACTTGCTGCATATACACATTAAAATTAAAAATATATTTTAATAGGATATAAGAAATTAAAAATATGTTGGAGAAAACAATATTAAATTTAATACCTCATCCAACTGGTACTTTTTTATGAATGAATCAGTAATAGCACTGTCGTTGCAGACTGTTAGAATACTATAAGTAGAATTTTCAGGGTCATCAATGTTATTGTGCTTGACATTGACTTTGAACAGAAACTTCTTATCAATCAATCCATCGAGTTCAGCAGGATATTCATTAGGATCTCCACCCTAAATAATGGGGCCGAAAAAGTAATACACATCTTAAGAATATATATTTATGGTTCTTTATATATCTCATTAATAGACGCGTAAAAATGTGTTATAATTTTTTAGATAGATTTAATTACTTACTCTTTCTTCCATGATACGGATTAAAGCCCCGACATCAACACCGACTAATTTTTTCGCTTGTTTGCCAAAGGCGATGAATGATGCAGCATTTGTGTCATCCATCACGATCATCTCGATTTTGTAACTGAATTAAAATTGGTTAATGTACTAATAACCAACAATGTAAAAAACATGTATAAAGAAATGATTTATGAATAAACACATCGACTTGTTAACTTGGTTAAATATGCACTTACGTTTTTTCCGGTATGAATAAACACATCGACTTGTTAACTTAGTTAAAAAGTGCGGCATTATTTCGATATCAGACTTTTTCATGTCTCCTTGTAGTATCACATCTTGCATTCCTTCATAAATTTCGGAAGATAAATCTTTCCGCAAACGACCTAATTCGAACATCTAATAAAAAATAAAATTAACAATTAAGTATGAAAGATAAAGGAAATTGGTAAGTATTAAACGAAAAACCATACAAAATATATATATAGGGTATAAACAATCGAAAATTACGGTATAAACTAATCGAATATTAACTAAAATAATGAAAGAATGGAATTAGAGTATACAACCTTTTTTCTTACCGTGTGCTTTGTTATATGAATGAGAAATAATAGAGGTGGAGTGAGGTATTTATACTTACTTTTCTATCAAAAAAAAAGAGGTATTTATACTTATGTTTTACGTAATAAAAGGTAAATAGTAAGGAAATCAATTATATGCATTAAATTGATACAATTAAAATTATTTCATTTTAGAATGTAATAATAATAATTGAATATATTATGGATTGAGAAATATATTGTTACTAAAATAGTGTATATATATATATATATATATATATATATATATATATATATATATATATATATATATATATATATATATAATTACAGAATATGTCATTTATTATAATATATAATTACATATATATTACGGATTTTAATTGGTATTAGATGACAAAATTAATGATTACCATAATAACCTATATAATATTAAGGAAATATGTAATTGTCATAAAAAATGTCATTTATGTATTATATATTTATGGAAATATATACATATATTTTTAATATATTCTTATATCTGATTATGGAAAGTTATAATTAAATGGACATTATATATGTAATATGTAGTGACACATGGAGCATGATTAGGATGCCTACATGGATGGTGACATGGATGACACATGTCGTAATTCTAGGCTATGAGGGTTTCAATTTATATATTATATAGATAGTAGCATTTAATAGCGGACTTTGATTTTAGTAGTGGGCTTTGATTTTAGTAGCGGGTTTGAAAAAATGTGAATCTTACCAACCGGACATGCTATTAGCCCCTACTATTTAGTCAGTAGAATCTTATAGCGGTAACCGAACGAGCCCCTAATCTAATAAACCGAACATGCTACTAACTAAATAATTAATTAACCAGTAGGGAGTTAATCTAATTTCATATAATCCAATATATGTAACCGAACGAACCTTTAATAATATTGATTATTTTAAGTGTAATGTGAAAATTTTGAAATTATTATCGGAACTTCAAATTGAACTGGAAATTGAAATCTAACATTCATACATTCCAATTTCGATCCGAATAATTTCGAAAAATCGGAAATTGGAATTTCGAAATTCGTATTGAACAGTATTGTTCCAAAATTGGAAAATTTCGGATCAAAATCGGTTGAATTCGAAAAATCAATTCGAATTCTAAAAGTTTAAAAAAAGTCATTTCCAAATCATTATTATTGAAAATATATACCATTTTGTATTTTCAATAAAATCTAAAAGAAAAAAAAAAAGATAGTGGCTCAAGTTTCAGTCTTCCATTCACAAATAGTGAATAACGACTCTCTTTCTGCAACTCACTCTTCTCCAGAAAACTCAAAAATGGCGAACTTTCCAAAAGCACTACTCTCTCTCCTAATTTCTCTCTCTATACTCTCCTTCTTCCCACTAACACTCTCCTCCCTCGTCCGATCTCCCAAATCAGCGTCCCATTTTCTCGGAAAATTCTCTCGCCGCCCAAATCACACGGATTCTCTCGGAGCTCCGAATTACAGATACGAGATCCGTTACTTCGAACAGAATCTCGACCACTTCAGCTTCTCGAACCTCCCCAAATTCCGGCAGCGGTACCTTATCAATACCGAAAATTGGTCGGGCCCCGATAAGCTCGGCCCCATCTTCTTCTACTGTGGCAATGAAGGTGATATCGAATGGTTCGCCGCTAATTCCGGCTTTGTTTGGGAGATTGCTCCTCCTTTCGGCGCCATGGTTGTTTTCCCCGAGGTACTTTCATTTTCGCCTAATTCCAATTTTCGATTTTCAATTTAATTTATGTGTTCTAAACCTAATTAATTATTAAGGACTTATTCATTTCTATATTTCGTAAATGTATTATCTTATAAATTTAACGAATTCTTAATTTGAAATATTTGAAATGGCTGGCGGCGATGAGATTCGAACTCTGGAATGACTGCTCTCAACCAAAAGCTTAAGCTTTTACTGAAATGTATCATTTTAGGTGGTGTTTGCAAAAACTTTTAAAAATAGATTATGAGCTTTTTTTCTTACATAATCTGTTTTAAGCTGTATTAAGGTGTTTGTAAAACCAACTTTTGCTTCTGCTTCTCTTAAAATAAGTTGATTTAAGCTATAATTTTAAAAGCACATATGCACCTGCTTTTTCTATTTTAGTTAATTTTCCAGATTTTTTGCAAACACCCCCAACTTTTAGAATTAAGCACTTAAGATCAACTTAACTCACAATCGCAACTTTTAGAATTAAGCACTTAAGATCAACTTAACTCACAATCATTGACTTATGCTTTTAAATAAGCTGTTGCAAACACCAATATTAACATCTCCAATAGTTACTAATTAATCGAGCATTATATTAAGAGGTTGTAGTATATTTTAGTATCATTCGTTTGGTTGTTTACTTAGTTGTTTACAGCATAGGTACTATGGAGAATCAATGCCGTACGGCAGTTGGAACGAGGCGTATAAAAACGCGACAACCTTAGCACATTTAACAACCGAACAAGCACTTGCTGATTTTGCTGTATTGATCACGGAGCTCAAGCGGAATTTGTCTGCTCAGGCTTGTCCTGTAGTGCTCTTCGGTGGATCGTACGGTGGAAGTACGATTATTTTTTTATTTTTTTTATTTTTTTATATATTAAATTTTTTTGGTTTAATTGTGGGGATTTATTTAAAAATTTCGTCGTCAAATTAAACAGTGTTGGCAGCATGGATGAGGCTGAAATATCCCCATATTGCCATTGGGGCGCTTGCTTCTTCAGCTCCCGTTCTTGAATTTGAGGATCTTGTTCCTTCCGAGAATTTTTACGATATTGTTTCCAATGATTTTAAGGTGTGTTTTAGTTTTCGACTATTCGTTTGTCGTTTATTATTTCTACGTGCTATAGTTGACTAACCTATCTTGTTCATTTCTTTGTCAGCGCGAGAGTGTTAACTGCTTTAACACGATAAAAGATTCTTGGGATGTGATAGAATTGGAGGGAGAAAAAAGTAACGGGCTTTCGTATCTCAGCGAAACTTTCCGCTTTTGCAGGTATTGTTAACATACAACTACAATATGTTTAATGTCGAAGTCTCTTTGTTTACTATTTATATACATGAATAAGAAAGTTTTGAACTTTTTTTTGTTAACATTTACTGAATGAGGGGTGCAAATTGGAACAATAATTTTCATTCCGATTGCCGATTTTATGTAGCGAACATATTAGATTCTGATTTTCTGATCTTAGTTTAATTTCCGAAAATTTCACTTGTTGTATCAATATTGTGTATTTTATATTATAGGTTACTAAGAAAAGATAGATTCCAAATTCTGCTGATTCCGACCCAATAATTTCCCATTTTGGAACTATTTTTTTCATTCAACTTTCCGAATTTTTTGGAATTACTTTTTCACTTTTGAAAAAAAAAAATTCGATTAAACATAGCTGAATGTCCTAATTCCGATTCGATCCG